CTTTGACGACCTATGGGAACCCCCATAGGATAGCCCTTGGGGATCTATGGGTACCCCCACATAATAACCCTTGGGGATCTATGAGTCCCCCATAGGATAGCCCTTGGGGACCTATAAGTCCCCACAAATAGTCCCTGGAGATCTTGCCTTATAGCCTTATGTGACCTTTAACCTTTGATCTTTGACCCTTGACCTTGAACCCGGCACAGACAGACACTGAACATTATATAGATAGATATTCGTTCTAGCAAAGGAAGAAGCAATATTCAGCTAAGAAAAATCAAGAAGAAATGAAAGCTAAATTCACTGTTACTGCATTGTATGGCTGATTCTGTGTTTTTGAAGTGGCTTTGAAAATGTTCAAAATGATGTATAGATTTTCGATGCTGCGATCATTAAATAAAGTAATCGTGTTAAATTTTACAAGGGTGTAGGTGTGGATGTTTCTTTTCTTTTCTTTACATCTGACACTGAAACCTACACTCATGGTTTTTCGCATTTTTAATCCTGCGAGTGATTGCAGTAAAAAAAATTTCAGATTGATATCATCTTTATTCAATAATCTTATAAAACTGAATGATATTAGCTGTTCGTTAAACTTTGTAAATGATTTTTAAATAGGGTAGAGCTTGACCATAGCGATAAACGATGTATTCAGTCATTGCTGCATGTTTTCCAATCACTGAATGAAATCCATGTGGTGCTGAAATAAGCGAGTTGTTGGTAGCAGTTAAGGTTGTTGGATTGCCCAAGAGAACATTATTGAAAAACATTACACGTGTGCCATCTATTGCGTTCACTTCGGTATAACCATGCGACTTGTTTGGATCGTCAGCAAAATAGGCACCATGACCTAAATGAAAAATTAATGCGAGTGTTCAAGTGTAAATATTTGACTTACCATACAAACCACCTGCATTAAAATATCGATCATCATATCCATCTTCTGTGATACCTATGATTCCAGCACTTTTCGTACCATGAAATAATTCTTGTTCGTTTGGATTTTGATTTGGACATTGTTTGGCAATAAGTTTCTTCATACCTTCATAGGTTTCTTCCAGATATGGATTTCGAATTTCTTCAATCGAGACAATTTGGACCGAAGGAATATTTCTCATTTTAGTTGAGACGTCGGTATAGAGAGTAGCACTCGATGGTAATGGTACTAAAATGGCATAATATTTATAATGTGGATCAGGTATGACCGATATAACAGGTCCATCTTGTGTCCATCCACGTCGTTCCATTTTATCAATACGTATTCTAACATAATGATCCAGAGGACGAAGAACTTTAAAACGTTTGTTTTTGATGTTATTAACAATCTTTTCTAATTCAATTTCATAAGGCTTCCGCTGAATATCGATACGCATTCCGAGTTCATGTGTATAATCTTTTTCTACAGATAAATTATTCACATCTAAATCGATTCGATCATGTGTTAATGCTACATGTGGTTCAATTAAATCCATAGTGAATGGACCTGTAGGTTCGCTTTCATCAAATAGTAAAACATATCGCCAATAGTCACGTTTTACCTCACATGTTATGCCGTATTTATACAATTCATCTTGAAACTTCTCTATATCGAAATACATATGCGACGGTAAATGACAATCCAAATCACATGGAATCACTTCTTTTACTAAAGCTGGCATAGAATTACTCTTGTCAATCCATTTTTTAGGGTCAGTTATACCAGGTGGTCGTGCTGTGTAATGACCAACAATCCAATCACGAACAAAACCACCTTCTAATTTACAGTCAAATTTGCAAACTGCAATCCATGCTACCACTTCCATTCGTGTTTCACGTGTCGCTTTACTACCTCGGACACCCTTGTATAAATCCACTGGCGTTCGTTTTGTATCAGTTACACGACTAATTCTTTCTTCCATATCTCGACAATCTTTACGCATTGCTGGTCGAAGTACACGTGGACTGACATCTGAAAGAAACGTCAAGATGTTTTTATGATAAATTTTTATTGGATATTCTTCACTTACAATCGTTTGGATGTCGTATAACAGCACAATTTCGTAACCAACCAATAAATGCATCAAATTCATTCTTTACTTTTTTATTATCAGAATCTCTTCCTTTGACGATAATTTCACAAGTTTTTGTTGCTGTATTGCTATTTATCGTAATTTCTATTTGTCTTTCTGCGGCCCATCGCCATTTCATCGGATTAAAGATATGAGTCATTTTCATAATACTTTCTAGATTTCGAGCGAAGTTCGAATTATCACCTGGACTCGTCGTGTTTGACAAATTAAATTTCAATTCAGAAATCATTTGTTGCCGAATATGTAATTCAGCATTGAGAACAGTGCCAGACGAACCTTTGAATTTCATCTTTTGACCGCCTAATAACATGTTGATTCGATTAGAGAATTTTGTGAGAGCATCGACAAATCGATTTGTTGTATTAAGATAAGTTTCCTCCTCGTTGGTTATATCAAATTCACGTTCAAGTGGGTATTCGAGCCATTCAGCTTTAATTTCACCAACGAATGATATGATTCCTATAGCTCGGACGGCCGTCGAATGGCGAATGTCTCGAGCTAAGACGAATGAGACTGGTGCTGTGCTAATTGGTCGTGTTAATGTCGATTGTAAATCAAGTTTAGCTAAATCATCTCGATTATTGTAACGCATGAATAAATGGGATCGATCTTGTAATTCTTTCATCGAAACAAACACATTATCCGAGTAACCAGTCAATAATGATCTGGCAACCAATTCCCAGTCTCCTGATTGTACTTGAGCTTGTGTACAGAAATCAGGTGACTGATTAAAAGTTTTTTCTAATGTTAGGTAACGTCTCATTGCTTGACGAATAACATGTTGAATCTCTTTTAAACCTTTTGATTGACAAACTTGATCGAGATTGAATTGTTTTGCTGGAATGCTCTGTCTCACTAAAAGAATTTCGTTCATCAAGTTTAACAAAGTCATAAAGTCTCCATCAGAACTTTTTAGATGCTGAGGTAAACTTTTGAACAGAATTGTTGTGTTAAGAATACCCAAAATCGCTGATAAACAGATCAAATCACGTCCACAATCATAAGTACGAAGTGCCGCCAAGACCGCTTTGGACATCGCCAATGAACCAAAATCAGGTAATTTCGCTAAATCTTCACCATGTTTTGTGAATATATCATTGGCACCTTTCTCCAATATATCTAAACAGAAATAATTAGTCGCGTGCAGTTTAAGTTAAGCATCTCTTACTTAAATCTTTCAATTGTTCAATGGTCGTATTGATCGCCTTTTGTGACGGTTTATCCGGTAGAAATGATTTCATATAAGTGAATCCTTTTTTCAATGGAGACTTTCTTAATGAGAATTCAATATTCATTAAATCCGATTGGCAGATCTGAGGAACAGGATAACGAACATCATCGACTTTGAAATCGTACAATGAATAATATTCACCGGGTTGAGTTCGACCTAGACGACCTAATCGTTGTTTGATCGTCGATTCAGCAGCTCGAACTTCTTTTAGAACAGTTCGTTTCGAGTCGAAATCATAAACAGGAACATTGATCATTCCAGTATCGACGACGTATTTTAGACAGGGAAATGTCAACGATGTTTCAGCGACAGTGGTTGAGAAGAACACAGTACCATGTTCGATGTTGTATTGTTGAATATTGGGATGTTGTGATTGAATCAATGGATAGGCAACAATTGTTTCTCGACTGATTTGATTAATTAATTTACAGGATTGATTTACTTCGGCAACTGAGCTAACAAAACAAAGAATTTGATCATGTCGTTTACGTTTTTTGCACAATTCTTGAACAATATCTAAAGCATTTTCATTGGGTCGAGCGATTTTTGTCACTGTATGTAAAGTTCCCATTTGTGGCATTTTGAATTCTGCGAGGCCAACCTGAGGAATATTACGAAATAATGTTGGCACCGAAGCATCGAGTGTTGCAGAAGAAATGATCACTTTCATTTTCGTTTTCAATTCAGGTTGAATACTTAACAATCGAGCAAGTAAAGCAAGACAAAGATCGATATTGACCGAGCGCTCATGCACTTCGTCGACAAAGAAGACTACTGATTTATTGAATTTCGTATTTATGGAGATTAAATTTGAATCGTAGAGTAACCGTTCTTTGAGTAAACCATCGGTTAAGTAAAGAATATTTGCGTTTGGATTTTTTTCGGTACCACTGACTGCCCAACCAGCTAATGGATCTTTCGTTGGTCCGGATTCGTCGGCCATCGTTTCATTGACACGTTTACAAATTAATTGACACGGTAAACGTCGCGGTTGGGTGACAATGACTTTATCATAACCTTCAGCGACCAATAAGACCGGTAATAATGTGGATTTTCCTGATCCAGTGGATGTCGAGATGGTTGTCACAGCGTTGTTCTCAATTTTGTCTAATAAATCTTTTGATGATTCATACAATGGTAATTCGACTTTGAAACAACCATAATAAAGAACGAGCCGTTGAAGAAGTTTGGGGATCAAAGTAAAATGTTTCAGTTCGTGTCCTTGATACATCTTTTGTGTTTTAAATTCTTTTTGCACTTTATTGATGAAATCTTGGAGAACAGCAACAGATTTGGCTGATGGTTTTTTCTCCAGTTTTGCACGTTGAATGAAGATATTTTCTTTGATAAATTCTTCTAATGCCGCATGTTTAATCGATTCGATTTCGTTCATCAATGGATGTTTCTGCAAAAATTGGTCAGTTGCTTTTCGAATGTCCACCCAGGGTGTTGGTAATTTGCCCATGATACATTGATCAATCAAAACATTCGCTTGTTCGTCAAGATAATCTTGGAATTTCTTTCTATATTCGACACTTTTCGCTTCTAATAATTGACTGAAGGCTTTGACGTATTCTCTCCAACTGTGTGTTTTTGGTTTCACACGGTATACAGCTTCTTTCATCAATTGTTTGATCTGTCGATTGGTATTTCGTTGATAAAAACCTTTGGCTGATTCGATAACATTCATCAGCGACCAAATACGTTGTAAAACATCTTTGAATCCTTGATGATGAGCAGAAAAACCAACGACGGTAACGATGTATTGATTGTTTTTTTCAGCAAAGATTATTTTCGGTACTCGATCGTTGAATGATGGATCGAGATTTTTCACTAAATCTTGTAAATAACGAATAATGATCGAATCTTTTGGTGTTAAAAATCGATGAATCACTTCATGTTGAATGTTATTATAATCCACTGTTTTGATATTTTTATCCATTTCTCTTAATTTTGCTTGTTGTCGTTCATTTTCTTTCTGTTGTCCTTCCATCTTAGCGATTTGATCTAATAAACGTACCACTTCTTGTTCATGTTTGCTACCTGAGTCTAATAATGTTTCTATTCGTTGTTGTTCATTTTGTAAATCTTTTTTCAACTGATCATTTTTCTTTTCTAATTCTGAGAGTTGGGTTTTGATTGCAGCTGAATTTTTATCATCATCCGACGTATTGCTCGTAACTTTTTCTTCTAAATGATTTTGTTGCGATGAACGAACTTTAGCTGCTGCTTCATTGATAAAATCATCCATTCGTTTGTCATCCAGATTATCTGAAGCGTCGGATTTACTTGTCGTAATCGAAGATGCCGACGAATCCAGTTTAGGATCTCCCTCTCCATCAGCAAGATCTTGTATTGACCAAGATTGATTGATGGGATTGGTGGGTGCCTGAAATGAAAAACAAGAATGTGATTGTGTTACGGTCAAGATCTTTACCTCGTTCACAGCTTTGTATTTATTCTCGTTGTCTTCAATGTCGCCTGCTTCCATGTCGGAATCGTATTCTTCTTCATTTTCCAGAAGCTCGTCATCATCAGCGATGGACATGCGATCATCTTTTTGTAAAACTTGTCTCAATCGTGCCGTAGTTAAAGGTATCGGATCTAAATTGGCTAATGTTTGTAAATCATCAATGCCGATAATTTTGTTTTTGTTGCGTGAATTATTCGAAATCATTTTCGGTATCCATCGAATAGAACCGGTGACACTTCCATTTTCATTGGTAAACGAAAATGTTTGTAAATCAAATAGTAATTCATCATGACAAACACGAGAAAGTACTAAACGAATGTATTTTCGTCGATATTTCATGGTGTGATCTAACTGAGCGCTGGTCTTAGCATCGCAGAAATACCACGAGTCAAGATGAACTTTAAAATTACTATCATAAGCCGTCGGTATGGTTAACATCGTCAACGATGGCTCTATTTCGGCTTTGGGATATTTGGTAAACATGATTTGCCATAGACAATAACAATTGAAATTTAAGATCGATGAACCTCGACAACGGATCCAGGCGATTTTTTGACTAAAATCGGCTTCTTTTCCTGAACGTAGAAATTGAATTAACGAAACAGCATAAGTTCCAGCGCGTACTCGTAAATGAATTTCACGTTTAAATTTTTGTTCTGGTTTGACTATCAGTGATCCTTGAAGAGTTTCCGATTCCAGTTCGGAAAATGGAAACCATTTCTGTTCTTTAAATGGTTTGTATTCCCAAAAACAATCCACCACATAATCTTCATCCTCTTCACGAATCGGTAAATGAGGTAAGTCATTGGTTTTGATCGAATAACTGAGAACAAGATTCTCCATAAAATATTTGATAATGTTTGGTTTCGTTCGTCCATTATCGATCGGTGTTTCTTCAGCATGATTCCTGAGAAAACAATCAGCACCGTGTTCGAATAAAAATTTCATAATCTCCAAATGACCAGCAAAACAAGCGCCATGTAGAGCAGTTGAACCAGCCGAGGGATTCGGAGCAAAATCAGCATCATTCTTGACTGATTTTGATAAAGCTCGTTTAATATGCTGTTGATTTTGAGCATTAACCGAGCATCGAGCTTTTGTAACAAGGTATCGAACCAGACTAGCATGATTATTTCGAGCTGCTGAATATAGAAGAGTGGTGCCAAAAAAGCCAGGTCTATCTTTCATCGTTGGGAATCTTTTCAGAAAATTTTTCACATCATCTTCACTGCCATTAAAAGCTGCTTGAAAAGCTTTCAGTGAAGCTAACATCTGTTGTACATCATTGACAAAGGCCTTAAGAATACCGCCATTGAAAGGGTTGGTGAATTCTCGAGACTCGTAATCATAATTGTGTTGATATAAAAAGTCTAATAAATATTTGCGGCTGAGCATCGATAATCGGGGTACACTTTCTCTCAAGACCTCTTCAAGTTCGGTTTTCATATCTGCCATTAAATCAACTTCCTTAGCATCTAACGTGAATGTATAGATATTAATGTCCAATGCGCCATCCATAGTAAAACATCCTGATTCTTTTTGGCCAGTTAATTTCTTCATAGTTTCTTCGACAATTCTAACAATCTTTTCGAAACACTGCTGTAATCGAGCCTCATCTTCTGGATTCGCCATGTTCAATGTCTATTTGGAAGAGATCAGTGTTTATTTGACTCGAATGTAACTAGTAGTGAATGCCTATCATGGTCGATGTGTAATGTTTTATGAGTAAAAATAAGTCGGAAGAAAAAGAAAATAAAAATGAAGCGGTAAAAATATTTTTTTCGTTCATCTACGCTCGTTTATAGTGATGCTTGAGGGACTGACAAAAAGCTTTGTTTACTGAAGAAAGCAAAGCAATACCATGAGTTGCATCCAAAAAACAGTGAATTGAAATCATCGATCACTCTAGGCTGTTTGAAAAAGAAACAGAACAAAGAAAAAAAATTCCGTGAATAAAACTCAAAGTTTGATGGCAGACATACAGTGAGGATTGTATGTAGATTATCGTATGTTGACAATGCATCCAAGGAGAAAACAAAGCGTTTTTGATGCTGTGATGTTGATAAGAATGAAAGAAAATTTAATATCCACATTTACCCACATATACACCCCAAAGTTTTGATCTGTGAGAGGGTGCGAGAGAGTGGGTGTTCATTTCAGGCGAATCTACACCCACACTCTCTGAAATACATATAGCGATTAAATAATCTGATCATTATCTTATTGGTAGAAGAGAAACTTAATTAGAAGCATTTCTCCTAATTTGAAAACGAATTTACGTTAATTCTTCTACTTGTAGGCAAAGATGAATAGTGGAAATTCAATATTGATCCGTAGGCTAATAAATACGGACCAGTGCGCTCAACTCTAGCAAGTTAGTTATTCAGCAATATATTATATGAATACGACAAGAAAAGAGGATGTGGGTGTGCTCTCTCAAAAAAAGGAGTTTTGCAGAACTCCCCGAAAAGGTTCTGTAGATTTGGAAAAGCATCCAAATGTGTCCAAAGTCTCAAAAAAGGATAAAAAATTCGACAGAATCCTTTAGAGGTTCTGCATCGTGCCCACTAGCACAACCATCTCTTACGAAACCTTTTTTTAAGTTCTGTACAGAAAAAAAAGATTTTCGTGAGAAAATACGAAACTTTGAGGGCTCAGTACAAAACCATTAGGGTTTCGTGCAAAGGTCAATGGTTTTCTACTGAACCCTTAAGGTTTCGTATTTTCTCATGAAAACCTTTTTCTGCTGTACAGAACTTAAGAAAAGGTTTCGTAAGAGATGGTTCTGCTAGTGCACTGTAAAAACACGGTACTTTCTGGAACCTCAAAAAAAGGTGTGGATGTGGGTGTGGGGTGTGGGTGTGAGGTTGTGAGGGTGTGGGTGTGGATGGTGTTCTGAATTCATCCCACGCCTACCCACACCCATACCCTTTTTTTCTTCACAACATTAACTATCGGAAGGAATTATTGATAATGTTTTTCCTCCTCCTTCACTACCTCCATCCAATTGCTTTTGCTGATATTCATCGATCACCATACTGTACGAAGCCTATCATATTACATAAAACACCTTGGTGTCAACCTTCGACACTTGCAAGATAACGCCAGTCACTTTTTCTGTTTCGAGGACAAACATTAATTCTATTCCAAAAAATATGTTAGTTTTCCTTTATTAACATAAGAAATCCAATAAAGATTTGTAATCATTAAATAGAAATAAAGAAATTCTATTTTATTTCTTCTCGATTAGTATTTATGTACACAAACAAGAAACTACATTTATACAAATTATTTACTAGATTTTTTGATTTTTCAAATCTAAATTTTTCGTTTTTTTTTTAATAAAAAAAATAAATAAAATCTTACTCGTAAAATATCATTGACAGAAACCGATGGTAGATAAATCACAAAATCACTTGATCGAGGAGCTATTAACTTTTTACTTTTTTTCATTTGAAATTTTTCTAAGCAAAATCAATAAATAAAAAATTATTTTTATAACAATATACTTTTCAGAATAAATAATAAAGATATTGATGATACATTGTTTTTCTTTTTAATGATCGCGTTTTTCTGAAAGATAAAGAAGAAGAATATTCTTCTACTTATCGATTTTGTTTTCTTTTATCGATATTATGATCAAAAAGGAAAGTGCCAAAAAAGGAAATCAATAAAAATTCTTCTATCCTACTGATTCACTATCATATTCACAGATTTAATTTGTTATAATTTTCATGTTTATGAGAAAACTGAACATTGAATGCACATGTTAATATTGAATCTTATTCTTCTCTGTAGATAAGGAGTGTATCATCTGTATACCGATGATCACAAGATTTAATTGAATACAGATATCGACTATCTGCTGGTTGTAGCTACTGGTGATGCACAAACGATTAGTCTGCATCGTCCACGTAGTAATATCTGATTATTTATTTATGTAACAAAACTGAACTTAAACAGAAACAGACTATTTGTTCAGACTTTATTATAAGAAAATCAATTATAGGTAATACCAATGAAGGGCAAAGAAAAATAAAGATATATACTTGCAGAATTATTTATACTGAAGAAAAAATGATGTCAATATCGACGAAAGAATTAACATATGATAGTATCTGATAGAGTCCATGGTATCCAAGAATTTTTGAACCAGAATCCGACTCGGCCGATTAAAGTTTTTAGGACCCGAACTCGGTGATCTGGTTGGATCTGAATCTGTTTGATTAACCTTCTGTGTTTCTGGGATTCAAATCGTATTCTTAATGAAATATTTTAGTCCGAATCTGATAGTCGTTTCGAAGATAGAATGAACTTTTTCCCATAAAGAAATTCAAGGTTTTTACAATAAAAACGAACAAAAACTTTAAAATAAAATTCAAAAACATGGTTATTGACATCAAATGTGTATTTCGATCAGATTTAACAAGTGGAAATTTCTTGAGTCAGACCCGGAGATAAAATAATAAAGTGATCATATAACGTCTCTGCTTGTTTCCGGTGGGCATAAGAACACTTTAAATGGTCAAATACAATAGAAGCATTCATAGAAATATTCAAAAAATTAATATTTAATGGATGAATTTATTCTTCTGAATGTAAATAATTTGATTAAAAAAGAAAAAACATGTCTAATCGAACGAGAGTAATATAGAAAAATAGACTATTGGAAGAACACCAAAAGAAAGTTTATTATATGTACTCCATCGTTTTTATAAATATGCAATACTAAAACAACATTGTGGGGTCTGGGTGTGGCTGTAACTCTTCTCTCCATCATACCCACACCCATCCTAATATTTCTAATAAGCATAAGGAAAAAAATCATCCTATTGAACAGATCAATGAAACATGTGATAGGCTTTAAAGAAAAGCCTACAAATTTCACACGTCAAAGAATAGAATAAAAGAAATTTATCACAAAACTCAAAAGTTTGATAGAATTAAAGAAAGAATATATTTAAAATTTGAACGAATAAAATATATGTCATTTTTTCCATTTATTATGTATTTACAATAAAAACAATTGAAAAAGTAAATAATTTATATTTAGAACTGAAATTGATCGATTATTTAGGTGATTTTTTCGTCATAATATGGCTCCAAACAAGAATATGTTGAATACGAAGATGTACAAGCTTTAATTTCGAAACAAGTGACACCTATTTCAACATTTTGATGAAAATATAAGAACGTAAGAAAAGAAAAAGGAATGTGGATGATGAGTCAGAATCTATTTTCTTTCTTCTTTCTAGTCATTCATTTTATTTGTCTACTGTGCATTTTGTGCCTGTTACGTGAATATATAATGATGAAGGAGATGAAGCAAAGATCATACTTACCTGCCACGGATGCATGAACGATCAACAACGTGAATGCTCCAGGTTGAGGCGCGAGCATTGCACATCGCTCCCGTTGACGCCTGCGAAGAGTCCACATCGGACTTTCTCGAGTGGAGAATTTATTCTGCGGTCATTTGCGTTCGCGCATTGGCCATTCGACAAAAAAAACTTAATGAAATATTTTCAGTCCTATGAAATCTATTATAAGAAGCAATTCTTCTATAATGATTGCATTGTTCTTTATTGTCACTATGAATAGACTTGAAATAAAGAATAGAGATTGTGAAATACATCTATGCAAACTAGTTCAAAAAAATATTTTTTAATTCTCTTCAGGAAGTATAGAAAGAAAAAGTTAATCGATATTCTCAAATTGAAGTTTCTCACGCACTGAGTCAAAAACTAGAATCCATGATTTGAAATGCGGTAAGAATTCATTTAAGTTAACTTTTTCTATGACCTCTGTCTATACACATCAGGATAATGGATTCAAATGAATACTTTTTGCATGTGGACTTCTTACTATTGTTAACGTTATATATATGAAAAGTAATTTTGAACAGATCTTCATAGTTACAACCAACATGATCTATTTGATTGACTCAACCTAGAGATATTCAACATTTTTAATCTTAAAGCTATCGATTAAAGAGAAAAATTCTTCAAAAAAACTTTTTACATTAATAAAGCTCCGTATAATTGCTGTGCAGAAACATGTTATTTTTGAAAAAATTTATAAAAGGATATTAATCTGCGAATAGCATTTTTCTATGCGCTCAAAAAGGTAAAAATAAAAGGATCTAACTTGATTTTCTGAGTACATCATTATTTGAGACCAGAAAACATGAGCTAAAATATTTGTGGTCTCAATACATATTCTACATAATTAAAAAACTTGATTTCTCAATCATTATTTCTTGTTGCATAGGTTGATGAAAAAACTAAATGTTACATACAAGTCTACGTGATATATTATCATTAGAATTCACAGTGATTTTTCACTTACTAAAGAAGTCCATTACAAAACTACGAGTTAGTTTATAATAGAATTGCTTTTGTAAATATTCATAAATACATACGACTTTGACTATCGAACATTTAAAGTAAAAAAGAAAATTTTGAACATCGAACTCAACTTATAAGAATCAGACATTAGTTGGATTTACACAAGATTATAAAAAAATACAGTAAGAAATATCTAATTCATATATTAAAATATGATAGTAAACACTAAATAAAAATAGAATGATTGAACAACGATGACAATTAACAAATATGTGAACTGATATTCAAAAATATTTCTTTTTTTAATAATAAATAAAAATAATATATATATATCAGCGACTATACTTCTGAGAGTTCATATTCAAAAATTTTCAATAATAAAACGAAGATTTTTTTTTATACCCGGAAATGATGTTCCTAAAATAGAACTAAGATTTTGAGAACATTTAAGCTTAAAGCATTCGAGGTTTAGTCGTCGATTATCTATGTATTTACATTTAAAATAATATTAATTTAATGTAAACATCTTGCCGTTAATTAATAATAAACAGAAGTGCTAAATGAATGTTTTGAAAATGTTACAGAACCTTAACATAAACGTCTATACAAAATTAGAAAGCAATTCAATAATATATAATTAGTAATAGTAATGGCTAAATTAATTGCGAATCTAAAAATAATAAATAATTTCTTTTTTTTTTTTTTTTTTTTGTTTGAAACAATCTCGTGAAATTCTTTTTTAATCACAATATGATATAGAAATAAAATTTTTCTCACATTATCACATATCAATCTCAGCATGATGTCTTTCATTCATTCTTGTTCTCCCAATGGAACAATTAACACTAAACACATACTCTTCTCATCTATTCATTCATGAAGACACAAACAAAATTCTATCTGAATCTTTTTTATTAATAAATAAATACACTGTATACAAAAAAAACAAAACAAGACTAGAATCGTACAGAACGAATAATGCCTGATGATGATTGCTGTTGACTATTTAATGTTGAATGTATAAATGGTAATACAAGTGTAACAGGAAGATTTTCTCGCATGACTGTATGATGAATAACAAGTGTACTTAGATTAGAAAATATTTTTAATGAACCCTATAAGATATATACAAATAAGATCAAAGAAAATAATATTTATCAAAACACACCTTTATACAATAAGTATTATTTTCTATTGTTTGTTGAATAAAAAAATGTTCAATTAAATTTTTATTAGTTTTAATCGATAATATATATGGATTATTTGAACATTGATAATTACATCGAATAATAAATGATCCAATTAATTGATTATTATTATTTAAATATTCTTCACAAATATATTCAGGTAAACCTTCTTGATACCATGCAGCAGCTGATAATAAATCTTGATCACTAAAATAAATAAAGAATAATATTGATTAAAAAATTGTAATTTAAGATATATTCTTATCAGAACAGATGTTCAGGAAAAGCTATTCTCATCAATATAAAAATTCACTAGTGCGTTAATCAAGCATAGCTAACAATGAAAATTTGATTATCGTTACTATTGACACTCTATTGTCTTTCATATACGTAGAGGATCATTGCAATTAGATGCTGTGCGTTCAAGTGTGTGTGTGTGTAGACGAAACAACAATAATCTTCGGGCCATCTCTGTCTGCACACACATACGTATATACATCTGTATGTAATTTGAGACATCACTATATTCATCACGCGATATGGATGAATGAATGAAAGTGAGTATGATCGTATTTCAAGGTCAAAAGAAAATACAAAAGACTTACTCTAGTCGATGACGTATTTGTTTTGGTGTATCAACAGACATAGAAATAATTGATTGAGAATCATATTGAATTTGTTTATTAATATTTAAACGAAATTTTTCAATTTGTTCATCTAAATTCCATACATTATCATAGATATCTGTATTATGATTATTAATTTCTGTTGTTGTTGTTGTTGTTGATGTTGATGATAAGAGAAGTGATGCTAAACTTTTATGTCGAAATAATTTTTCTTTAATATATTTTGTTATACTACTACGACGATTAGATGATGATGATCGATCTGTTTGAGATAAACTTAAACGTGAACCATAACCAGATGAAGATGATAATGATATAGATGAAGATGAACTATGACAATCAAACCGAAATGAATCGGTTGTTTGAAAACCATCAATTTTTTTCATAGGAATCTAAAAATCATAATAAGAAATTTGCTATTAAATTATTTCTTTGCTCATAAAATGATTGATAATATGTTCGATCGTCTATTCAATCTAATCTACACATAGAATCAATTATGTAATAGTGAAAGAATACTTACATTGTGAATTCTATATCGACTCAGATTAATATTCTTTTTGTTTCCCAGAACTAAAAAAAAAAGACTATTTTATTCAAGACAATCAATTAATAAACGATGATTAAAATACAAAAATTGATGCGTTTTTGTCTATGTGTGAAAAGCAGATGTTTGATTAAACACTAGTTTGTCAACAATGTATGAATCGCCTCCAAAAAAAAAAATGAATGATAATGCAATTGAACTATTATCAGAGGAAGAGAGAATCGCTTCCATTGTCTCTCTCTCTATTTTATCACGAAAGAAAAAAAAAACTACATGTGTTCAAATATAAGAACGAGCAAAAAATATATATATTGAACTCATCAGATGGTTCAATTGTTTCTCATTATATATTGATTGATCGACCGTATCATCATATATATGTGAAAAAACGAAAAGCTTTTCTTCTATATATTCATGGTCTTTCCAATAATCATTGATTGATATACAACTTAAAAGATAAATAAAACATCTGTTCGATATTCGAAAATACTTGACTGACATAGATAAAGAAAAAAAAAAGAAGAGTTTGTTTTTTTTTTGTTCAATACAAGAAAATATATAGACAGACGAACCCCAAAGCAATTATCATCAATACACATTTTTCCACTTGTCTCGTTCTATTTTCTTTTTTTTTTTTTTTTCTAATGAGTTTTGTCCTTATGCTGACCGACATTGAATAGAAGGAAGAAGAAAAAAATTAATGACGGGAACTGGGTGGACAGATTATTATTTTGAGAAAGATAAAAAAAAACCCAATGATGAGCATTTGCGTGTACTGATCAATGATGAACAACGGAAATGACAACATACATGCAATCATTTGTCAGTTCTATTTTGTAGAAGAACAACATTTCTGCAGATTAAACTAAACATAGCATACAATTAATTTAAGAAATCATAGTTTTAATAGAAACATCTACAACAAGGATTTAATAATAAATATTTCATAAATATATATTTCTATGATTATGAATTATGTGTGATTTATAATAGTATAGGATTAATACTTCCTGTTATATTGTTTTATTTTATTTTTTAATTCAGAGTAATTAATCAAAATTTAATTTGAAATTTCCTTAAATATAAATTATAGATCTTTGAATCGAAAAAAGGCAAAAAAAAACAACGATTGACATTAAATCATGACACGAAAGGTGTTTTGAAGGATTAAAAAAAAAGCAAAACATTTCCTATTTGTTTATAAAATTTTTTCAAATTAAGCATGTCCTCTTTCAAAACTTCATTATAGTATATGTCATGCTCGTTTTTCAGTAGAATATATTCTTATGAAATAAAAAGAATTTTTTTTGTTGAGTGTTAAAACAGCTTCTTGACATACTAATTGAACTTCTATTTATCTTATTTCTATAATTGGACACTTAATATATAAAATATGATAAAAGTACATTTACTATCAAACAAGACAATATTATAAATATCTACTATTCAATCTTTTGATGTCAAAAAGAAAAATGTATTATTAATTTAAATATATCATGGAATCTATAAAAGACAGTTTAATAACAAAGATGTTTTAATTCTAAATCTTTCATTATCAATTGTGCAAGTCTAGTTTTTTTTTCTAGCAATGAATTTAATATTGAACAAATGATAAAGTTCTTATATATATATTTTTGTTTTTCTTTTGTTCTCATATTAAATCAAAACAAGGTATCTTATCATCATAAGCACGTTTATTCATACTTCTCAAATATATATCTACCGTATGACAATAAACAATACCGCTTTAAGTTATTAAAAAAAAATAATAGTATTTTTTTTTATGAAAGAAAAAAAAAAAGACATTTTCTTTTTTTCTTATCGTCATCCATGTATAGGTCTTTACATTAGCCATTTTTTTGAGTGAATTTCTTTTCCTATGGCAAACATAAGTTTGTTGTTAATGGCTAAGGCATACTGATGTATCCATGGTGAACAAAAAAAGTTTTTTTTTTCTCCTTTTTTTTTTTTAATCGACATTTGGCATATAGTGTTTAAAAAGTACACTTTTACTTTGTAGAATTCTATTTGTGCAGTTTATTTTCATCAATGTCTAGCTCACTGACAAGCGCACAACATCAAGAATTACGAGATGCTTTCGATATATTCGATTCAGGTATATGAAAATAATAAAAAAAAAAGGATAATTTTATTATTTATTTATCAATAGATAAATCTGGTAAAATATCTGAAAAAGAATTAGAAAAAGTTCTTAAGGCATTAAATATTAATGTCAGTGGTAATCAATTAAAAAAATTAGTTAATGAAATGGATACAAATAAAAGTGGTATGTAGAATGATTTAATTTAAAAAAAGAAAAAACCTTTTTTGTTATTTTTCAATTCAAAATAGGTCAAATTGAATTTGATGAATTTTGTCGTGTTATGGCTGATGCATTTTTTAAAAAACATTCTCATGATGAATTACGTGCTGCTTTTCGTCAATTTGATCAAGATGGTTCAGGTTATATTCAAGCAAATGAACTTGAAACTATTATGGCAAAAATGGGCAAACGTTTTACTAAATCTCAAATCGATGGTTTAGTTAAATCTTTAGATACAAGTGGTGATGGAAAAATTTCATTTGATGAATTCGTTAAATTATTTTAAACAAGATTGTCACAGACTAGTTTATTTTCTTTTGCTTTTTATGTCATTTTAATTATGAAATATTAAGTAAAAAACAGAAATTTTTCTTTTTTGATAAAATTAATTTTGACGAGAACTTGGTGTTGGTATTAATGGTAATTGAACTGTAGAAAATGGATAAATTGAATAATGTGTTCGATCAGATGTTCTATCTAAAAATTAATAAATTTTTAATTATAGACAAAAAAAGAAAAATATTTATATACTTGTTTCTTTTGAACGATAATTTCTATAACATGGAAGATAATAACGAATATTTCCATTACGTACTACATAAATAATAGGATTCCATCTAAATAATAAAAATAAAAACAATTTTTTTCTAGATAAATGAATAGAAAAACAAAACTTACACAACACTTGTTTTAGCAAATAATGCTGGTATTGTTCCAAGAATAGGCGAAAAATACTTACCATCAATAAAAGCACGAATAAAACTCATTATTGCATATGGAGTCCAAGCAAGAAGATAACCACCTTAAAAATATATAAAATTCAATTCTTTTTTTTTTTTTTCATTTTATTTAAATTTCTATAATAATTACTAATAATAAAAATAACAGTATATGTCATACGACATTCAATTAAATATTGACGTTGAGAATGAGATTCATCTAAATTAATACTTATACGACGTCGACGTTCACGAATCTAAATAAAAAAAAAAAGAAACATATTTTATATTCTCTTGATTTTTCTTTATTTTCGAAAAGATTTACTTACCACATGAAAAGCACGGATATTTGTTATAATAATAATAATAACTGGTATTAGAAAAACAAATATAAAAATTGTTATATTATAACTAACGACATTCAATGATCGATCTTCCCATTTTATACTACAAGATGCTCCAACACCCTATAAATTAAATTATTATATTTTAAAAGTAACAACAAAATTAAAAAAAAAACAAACTTCATAATCATAACTTGACCATCCAATAAGAGGAAGTAATGTCCAAAATAAAGCTAATAAATAAATACATAAAATAATTATATAAGCATGTTTTATTTTTATAAATGATGTTGAAAATAATCTTGTTACAACAAAATATCTATTTAAATACAAAAAAAAAAAAAAAACATTTCTATAATCAAATTTTATGTTTTTTTTTAAATACCTATCAATTGAAATTAAACATAACATATACATATTTGAACAACCAGCAAAATAAGCTACAATAGCTTCGAATACACAACCAACATAACTAAAAATCCATCTACAAAAAAAAAAAAAAATCAATGAAAAAATATATAAATATTTTAACCTGCATCCAATAAGTGCAATAGTTGGTAATGGTATTTCAAATAAAGCTCCAAAAAAATCTACTAATACTAAACCACAAATAAATATATTTGTTGATGATTGTCGTAAATTTTTATATCGTATAAATACATATAATACATAAGCATTTAAACTTGTACCAAGAATCCAAAGAACTAATAAATAATATCCAAGAGGACGTAAAATATAACATGGTTCTAATTGTTTTGATAAAGATATTGATACATTCATTATATAAAAATGATTAATATTATTGTTTAACTAATAGTTTTAAAAAGGAAAAAAAAACAAGAAACAGTAATTATAAGATAAAAATAAAAAAAACAAAAAAAGAAAATTGCTCTAAGCTGAGATGAGAAAGAAAACGTTATCCTATATTATATAAACTCAAGCAACATTAAAAATAAGAAAAAGAGAACTTATGAACGTAAAAAAAAAAAGATGGAAAAGTTGGAACATTTTTTAATACTGAAGATTTATTTGTTCTTTCTCTTCGTCTAATTGTGTTCTATGTCATAATTGTCTTTTTTGTTTTAGTATTTTCTCTATTCATTATAGTCTTTGCCATAAGATAAAGTAAAAAATATAGATGTTTTATTAATATTCAACAAGCTGATTAATTATAATACAATCCCAGAATAGAACAACTAATTTTTTTTTGTTTTTATGATAAAATATATCTATGAAATCTGACCAAGATCTCCTTGTAATTTGATATGATATTATATTCTTTTATTTTATTAATTATTCATAAATATGTCTTTTGTGTAATTAATAAATAATGAAACTATTTTTTTTCTTTTCTTTTGATATAAAAGAAGATATTCTATACGAAACTCTTACTCATATTACTTAATAAATTCTATGAAAATTTATTAGATAGGTATATGAATTGAAAATTATATTTTATATAGTGTAAACTCAAACAGTTGATATATTAATTGTAGTATTAAAGTCAGCATGCATAAATACTTCTTCGTCTTTTTTTTTCTTCTTATATACTCTAATTTTCATATTGGTCATGCTTAATCTCTTGAAAAAAAAGAGATAGACCGAAGTTTCCGACGCAATGATAATAGAAAAGACTCATTATCAATTTTACACTTGTCTGATTTAAGACTGGCTTTTGTACTTATATTTAAATTAACACAAAAGTTTGAGACAAAGAAGAATCATGAATGCAGTTAATAAAAAAATTATTATGAATAGTAGATAAAAAAAATGCTTGAATAGAAATGTTTTATTTAATTATTTCTATATAATGTACATGAATATATGAAACTGATATGAATATGTTTTCGTTTCTTTTATTCGATTTATCAATTAAATAAGTGCTATATTGAATGTTAATTATATTCAATTAATTTTTTTTTCTTCTATTTTCTTTTAATTTATCATAAGATTTTCATTATCATATAAAAATCTAGTCAAGTGATAATAAATTATAATCCTTTGACATGTCATTTTGCTCATCGAATGCTTTATTATATAAAAAATATATCTTTTTTTTTTTTTTATTATTTATATTCGGTTGAAAGAATAAAAAAACAAAAAAAAAAATTTCATTTAATATTTTATAATCATTTGATGTTTATAAGTAAACATCAAAAACAGGTTAAATTTCATTGACATTCAAAACTCATTTTCTTTTTTCAGAAGGTCAACTAGGAACTTTTTTTTTTGTTTTATATGTTAGTCTCATATTTATCATGAAAATTCATTTAATTGAATATAATCATCTATATTATTAATAATTAGATTCAAACTATTGAATTCATATATTCATTGGTGTTATTTATTTAAAGAAAAAAGAAGAACAAATATATATATATATATATATGAATTTATTTGTCTTTTGATTATTTATTTATAAAGATTATATGTAATTTTATTTGTAATTAAATAATAACTAATTATTTTTTGTATACGTTGACATGGAATAATAAAATATCCTCGTAAATCAGTACCATAAGAAATAAGATCTGGTAAATTTTTATTATCTTTTGATTTTGAAATTTTTTTTATTTGATAATATTTTAATGATTTAAATGATTCAATAAAATATAGATGAATATCATGAGATAATTTATAATTTTCAAATATATATTCAATATAATATGTTATATATTCATTATTTGGATTATCTTCAATTATAGTAACTTGTCGATGATATATAACATCACTATCATAACCAAATTTCATCATATATATTTCACCTTGTGTTATATCAGGTAAATTTATTTGACCAATAAGTCTACCTTGTTCATATAATGTTAAATGACCATTTGGAATAAAATTATTATATGATGTTAAATTAAATGCATTAATTAATTTACCATTTGAATTTATTATTGAAAATTCTGATGAATAATAAAGAAATTGTTCAATTGTAATATTTGTTTCAATAAATTTTATTGATTTTATTGAATGTGATGGTATTATCATTGATGATGATAATGATAATTGATATACATGTGTATTACTAACTTGTTCATCTAATGCATGAATAAAATTATTATCAATTGAATTTGATGTTAGAGGAAGAGGACCATTTGTTAAATATAATGAACTTGAACGTAAATATTCTATTGGTCTTTGATTTAAATTTCTATCTCCTAAAGATTAAAAATAAAAGAGACTAAAAAAAAAATAAACGATTTTACCAGCAATAAATTCAGCTGATTCAATAATAATTGATTGTTCACCATTATTACGTATATCAGCATAGGCTTGCATTTCTGGTTGTTTATTAGTATTAAATAATGATAAATCAAGTGTATATCGTGGTGTCCATTGAATATTTTTATTAATATATGATAAAAGTGGTGTTTGAATTTGACTATCTATTGTAAATAATGATTTACATTTAAATATAACTTCATAATAAGGCATAATAGGTATTTGATTTAAATATTCAATATCAGTATATGATGATAAATAAAAATAATGATTTGGTTTTTGAACATGACGAAAAATATTATTTTTTGCATCAAAAAGTTCAATTTCAATACCATCATTATCTTTTAAATCACGATGATAAATATATCGTGTACCATTAATTTCAAAATTTGGTGTTGAATGATAAATAATTGTTCGTTCAAGAATATTAATATTTAATATTGTTATTGAATCTTCAACTATTTGTAAATATTCTTTTTCATTAAATAAAAATCGATAATATTCAATTGATTGTTCATGATTTAATTTTGTTTTATATGATTTTAATAATATTGGACGATATAATTGAACAAAATTAGAATAAAAACGTGCAAGTACATATTGTTCACTACTTTCAGATAAATCTGATATTGTTAATGTGATAATTGATAATAATAAAGTTATTATTAATGAAGTCATGTAGATAGGCTTAGTAAAGAAGAAAAAAAAATAATTCGTGAAAATAATCGCCTATATATACGTAGATGAAAAAGAATCTAGAATATCATTCTATAGACTGATACGTAAATGAACTAAAGTTAAATCGAGGGTTTACTATACATATATGTCATGCATTCAACTTATGGTTTAACATTGTTTAAAAACAAAAAGAAATGAATATCCTATGTTGAATAAAATACAATTTTAAAAAGTACATTTTTCTACAAATATGAATTTAATTCTAGTTTGAAATACAAAGTACGACTATATGACCTAGATCTTTTACAACATATTTTTGAATAAAACTTGTGAATAGATGATTATGTGCTTTATTAGCCTCATTATATAGTTCATATTTGTACTTTTAGGTTTTTTGTTTAAATAATTTTGTCATTGTTAGAAACACATACGAATATATATATTAAAGAGCAGAAATGATTAAGCGCTTGTTATGATCATAATTCATTCTATACAAATCTTGAAGTACAATGAAGTATTTCGGCATTATTATCAAGCACACTTATATATAATGAACTCTTCGATTATCTTTTCTTGTAATATATGTTAATTATAGATTATGAAATATAGTATGTACTAAATCGGAACTCTCGCGTTCAATATTTGAGTTCAAGAATTAAAATTAATTAGTTCTGAATAATGCTAAATATTTGACGTTATTATCTAAGCATTTCATAAGCTATATAAGTAATTATAAAAGATTTGAATTAACTATTTAAATTTAATCTTTGAATTTCAGTTCGGTGCATTTCTTCATTATTTTTATTAATTCAAAGTACAAACCTTGTTGTTTAATAAGCTTCTTTTCTTGATACTCTCTCTCTCTCTCTCTCTTAATGATTAACTATTAATTTTTAATTAATATTGTTTTATTAAATAATTTTTCAAAGAATAAAACAAACATCACAATCGATTTGGAAAAAATTTGTTAGGTTATTTTTTTTTAACTAGGTAAATGTAATTCTTTTTTTAATAATAAACTTGAAAGAAAATGAAATGCTGTTAAAATAACAATCATTGCCATAAGTATAACATAACGACTTATACTTTCACCAATATCTAACCAACTACCTTGAGTTTTAATTAAAAAAAATAATTCAATGGCTAATAAATCACATATAATTAATGTATATAAACGAAAATTTTTAATCATATTAGGATTTTTGATAATATATGCTGTTGCACATGTAACAATAAGTATTGGTAATATACATTTAAATATAATAATAAAACTCATTATAAATGGATTAAATATTGTTAAAAAACAATAAACATTTGATGGATCAAATGAATTAATTGATGCAAAATTTCCAGTACCAAAAAAAGCAAGAAAAATAAAAAGTAATGATTGAAATGTAAATAAACGAATATTTTCTTCTTGTTGTTGTTGTTGTTCATATGTTATTATCCATGTTAACATTAATAAACAAAGAAATAAAACAAATAATGATTCATATTGTGTTGATAATAATATATAAATTGTTAATATTGATGTAAATATAATAATAAGTCGTTTTAAACGATATATTGATAAAGAAAAAAATGGTAATAAACATGATATTATTAAAAGTATCCAACTAAGTATATGAATTAATAATGAACGAATTAATAAATAATGTACAAAATAATTATCAATTATAGCAAGTATTAAACAAATACGTTGAATATAATAAATATTTAATTGTTGATATTCAGATTTAAAATAAAGATAATGTAATATTAATATTATTATACCAGATAATACAGTACACCATGATAATGTTATTTTAATTGTACCAACTGTTGGTAAAAATGGAAAAATAAGAATAATTATAAGTAAAATAGCATAAGCTAATCGACGACGATCATGTAATAAAGATCTAAACGAAAACAAACAAAAAAACCCATTGTTGTTCTAATGTCTGAGATATGATGAAACTAAAAAAAAGTGAGTAGTGTCACATATACAAAATTTTGGAGATGCGCCCACATCTCTCGCAGGAGATTCCGCATCTCCCGCAGGAGACTCCGCATCTCTCGCAGGAGATTCCGCATCTTCCGCAGGAGACTCCGCATCTCCCGCAGGAGACTCCGCATCTCCCGCAGGAGATTCCGCATCTCCCGCAGGAGATTCCGCATCTCCCGCAGGAGATTCCGCATCTTCCGCAGGAGATTCCGCATCTCCCGCGCTAGACGTGGATGCATCTCCAAAACTTTGGATATGTGACACTGCTGAAAAAAGTAGTTCAAGTCTAATTGTTTTTTTTTTTTTTACTATTTACCCTTGCCAACGTCGAATAGAATCAATAAATAATAAGAAAACACCTATTGACATTGTCCAACGATAAAAAAATGGTAAAATATATGTTTGTAAAAAAATTCCACTTATAATTAAATTTAACCAAAATGAAAAATAGTTTATCTGACTAAGAATTTTTTGTTGTATCCAATGAATAGTAAAATTAATTGAAATCCATGTATGTATACAAACAAGTGCTGGATATAATAAATATGTCCATGGTGATTGTTCAATTAATAAAAGAATAAAAATTAAAATAGATACTATTTTACATAACAAAGCTATCGATGATGATGATGATGATGATGATTTAATTGGATTTAATTGATATAAAATTGTACAAATAGATGTCAAAAATCCAGTAGTAATCAATATACTAAGTAAAAAACGTCGATATGTATGATAATAATGACTAGCTAAACCAACACGATGCATAAAATCTATTTAAAATATAAACAAAATTTAAATAAATTTTTTATTCTTGTTTGTTTACCTTTAATATCATCTCGAATTTGATATAAATTCATATAACCTTCAACTGTTTCCATACGTTGAAAAAATTTTTCTTCATTTAAATTATATGGTTTAAAAAATAATAAACGTTGTTTTAATAAATTATATTGTTTATGTACTTGTTCAAGTAATTGTCGAGCATTTTGAAGATAAGCTTGAAGAAGATCTTCATCAATAGGTAATAAATAATCAATTGGTAAATGACCAACTGAATTTATTGAATAATCAAGTCCAAGAAAATAAGACATTAATGGACATAAATCTGCTTGTTCAATATGAACATTTGTATGACGTGATGAACGAATACCTGAACCCCAAACAAGTAATGGTGTTAAAGTTTCTGTATCATCACCAGCACCATGTGAACCCCAATCAGTCATACCTAAAAAAAGAAAAAAAAATTTTTTTTTTTCTTTCTTTCTTTCTCTAAATAAATTAATTTACCATGATCAGATGTAAATACATATGTAGTTTTTTGATCATATTTATAATAATTTTCAATTAAATTTTCTAATCGTTGAATAATTCCATCGACAATATAAATATTTTTCATATAAATATTTGACCATGGTTTATATGAATGACCATTTGTATCAATACCAAGTAAATGAAAAAAAAAGATTATTTTATCTTTATTTAATTCATTTTTATATGTATTATTTAATAAAAATTTTTCAAATTGTCTTTCAACCCAAAGATCTAATTCATGTGCACGATCATCACCAAATACTTCATTATTAGAATTATAACATTCAATATAAAAATGTTCATATGATTGACCACGTTTAAACATTGGAACTATATCAGGACTACCAAAACCAAATGTATATGTACTTCGATTAAATATTGAATCAAATTCAACTAGCAAAATAATCATATTAATATGAATAAAACTTTAAAGAGATCAAAATAATGATAGTAATGGATTTTCTTGATAATTTAGATCATTCGATAGAGAATTTTTTGGTTTTACAAAAACAAAATCTTTAGCATGTCTTCAATATAGACATCTGCAAAATCAGTTTTTTTGGTCCCGGTCCCGGTCCCGTCCCGGTGAAAAATGTTTTAGTCCCGGTCCCGGTCAAAATTTTTCTTCAGTCGCGGTCCCGGTCCCGGTCCCAGCCCAAATTTTTTTTGGTCCCGGTCTGGACTCGATGCCAGTTAAAAATTGTATTATGGTGAAAAAATTCCGATTCTTGAAACTGAAACGAGGATCGATGAAAATTTTTATCAGAATTGTAAAGAAAATTGCTGTTTTTTTAGATTTCTGATCACAAAAATATAAGAAATACCTAAACGCAGAATCGAGTTTCTGATAAAAAATAATACCGGGACCAGCTTGAAAATTTTGGTCCCGGTCCCGGTCCCGGCAAAAGTAAAATTTTAGTCCCGGTCCCGGTAAAAGTAAAAATTTTGGTCCTGGTCCCGGGACCACTTTGCAGATGCCTACTTCAATAGTATAGAGTCTATGACGAAGATAAAATAACGAATTCTTTCATATGTTGACTATGTCCTTTTTTTTTGTTTTGGTGCCAAGTATGATTTTGTACGTCATTTTTTTCTTTCCTTATTTATGAAGTAAATGCAATGTATTTTGCTAATGTTTCATACATGTTTTCCTTATAACACTGTTTGCTCTTTATATATATAACAGAAACAAAAAAAAAAGTACATGATTTATTCTCACCTGGATTTTCTTTCCATCCACGTGCAACAGCTGATACATCTTCATAAAAACCAGAAATAATAGCAACATGACCTGGTCGAGATTCAGTTGGTACACGTGTATGTGAAATACCACTTAAACTTGTTCTATTCTGAATAATAGAATTAAGATAAGGTGTATTATTCAATTGTTGAAACAATTTATCAGATCGAAGACCATCAGCAACAAAAAGTACAAGACGTTTAGCACGTGGTATTTGAGTTGAACGATGTACAGGCATTCCATGATTTATTGGTGATGTAAAATAAACATCAAATATTGAATAAAATAATACTAAATGACTTAAAAGAATAAGAATAATAAAACGTGTTGTTTCCATTATCTTCTTTAAACCATCTGCAAATTATATTAGCACATTTATTATTCTTTTAGCTAAACGTTTTAAATTTTACTTTCAATCATTTCAAAAATGAAAACAAAAAAAAAAGAATTACAAAATCATCC